CAGGTGGGAAGAGGAGAGAAAGGTTTTGCAGGCAGAAAGCGGATCTCATGTTCACAAATGAGCAAATTTCAGAAAGTCTGTTGGAAAAGGAATTAGTAACCCGAGTTTGAAAGAGATCACAGTATTTATCCAGGAAAATAATTAGAACCAACTGGAGGTGGAGGAGGTCCCGGGGTTTGTTCAGGAGAGTGTAAAAGTAAAGGGCTTTATTATTTGAGATCTTTGAATTTTTAAAATGTGAGACGTGATGTCCTATTACTAATGGAGGGGCTGATTTCCTCATCAGTGTCTGGAACAGTGCCTGACACACAGTAAGCTCTCAGTAAACATTTACTGAAAAAATGAGTGAGGAATGAACGATTTGACATTTTAAATGTTTATCCATGGTATGCCTAAAAATTACGTCTATAGCACATAAAATATGCCTCTCTAATAGGGAGTGAGGTGAGGATGAACAGTTAGCCTTGGGGCTGCACATCTAAAGCCACACTCTCTTCTCCCTGGTGTTTTTTTTGTTTTGTTTTGGTTTGGGTTTTTTGGGGTTTTTTTTGTTTTTTTTTTTCTGCTCCCTGGTGTTAGTCAGCTCAAGCTTACACTTTGATCATCCATCTGAAGGGGAGGAAAGAGGGCTTATTTGTCGACCCTCCTGAATGAAGTCTTAATAACAACTGTATTCATTTGCTCTAAATTTAGGTTTAATGATGCTTTAAACTTAAAAAAAAAAAAAAGTCAGTGATGTTGGTTTCAAGAATACATAGTTAATATAATGTAGTCATTCAGACCCCCCCCCATTTAGACAGATTTATCTCCCCAATCATGGGAACCACGGAACAAGTGCAGGCCTTACTCACCAACCCAGCAGGTTCAACAGGCACATCCCTAACTGCATTGCACCTTCTCTGTAAGCAGATTGGAAGGAGAAAAATACCCAGAAGACATGGAGCCAAGTATGCCTGTGTCCTTCTCCCACATATACCCAGTGGGGAGCAGTGGGAGAGGAGAAAGGGAAAAGAAGCTGGAAGCATCGATCCCTTAGTTTCTCTCCCAGGGACTGGAGTGGAGAGTCCCTTCCTTTATGGCAACATAAGGAGTGGGCAATGATTATCCAAATGAACAGTTATTTCAACATTAGCAATGCTTTAGGAAATGTATTTGTCTGCCCTAGAAATCAAGTGTGGTGGCATTTTCATTTGCCTCACTTCCTTCTGCTTCAAGGTTATATAATCTTTGATGTCTGGATCATGCCCAGATGTTGGTCATTTAATCCCTTATTGATGAGGCAGCATTTAACCACTGCAGATGTTGAGGTGATCTACAACCTGGTGCCTCACTGCTCCTGAGGGCGTAAGAAAAAAATGACCACTTTCCCCGTGGATACTATTTTTGGAAAGCTGTGCCCACTGTGAATATAAGGACACCTTGGGTGTTTTTATATGATTGAGGAAAGACACTCTTCTCCAAAGGGCAGAGGTTCAGGCAGAGCCAACCAGAAACTTGCTGGCGCATTCACTTTAGGAGGCAGCAAAAAGCTTAGAAGGTGGGGGCTGAAAACTCACGCTGCAGGAGAAATGCACACACAAGCACACCGTCTCACAAACATGCACACGCACGTACACGCACAATCTGTAACACTAGCTTTTAGAAGAAGTTTTAGACTGTGTGGAGGAGACAGACTGAAGATGGGTCATAACTGTTATATGACACTTCTTAAATTTCCCTGATAAAGAACACGGTAATGTTGACTCAACTACACAGTAATGCAATCAGCTTTCATGAGTAGTTGTAGAACCAGATTCATTATTTTATATGTCAAACCACTTAGAGCTATGATGTCTAGCTCAATGACAAAATATTTTGAGGGATTTGCACAAACTAATAAACATCATGCAATTTATTGGTGCATTGGAGTCTGAACCAAAGTTAACCAAAATATCTTTAAAAAATGTCCCTTTTGCGTGACTTGTGTAATGAGGAGCATCTGTATGCTTCACTGGCTGATTCTAAATTCTAGTAACTTGTTTACTTAGGGAGATTTCATAATAATGTAACTTAATGATGCATACAGTACAGATAAGTGATTCACTTTTCCAAGGTTTTTTGTTTTGTTTTTGTTTTTAGTATGCTGTGTCCTCTGCCTAGAATATTATTCATAGTAAAGACTGTCAAAAGTCAGAAACAAACCCTTGAGATTGCCTAGTGAAAATCTTTTATTTATAGATGAAAAAATAGATTTAATAACAAAACCAGGGTGAGAACACAGTTTTCAACTCTCAATCCTTTGTTCTTTTACCCATCCTTTAAAGCCTAGGACAAGCCGCCCCTCCTTCATGAAGCCTTCCTTGACCCCCAGACTTTCACGAACCCCTAATCATGGTCTACTCTGTGCCATTTAGCATTTGGTTAAAAACTCTTGTCCCTCCCCAAATTATATTTTACTCCTGTATCTCTAAGGAGATTATTATCTCAAGGACAAAATCCACGTTTTATGATACTCTTCACTGAAACACCACAGTACCTAGCAGAATTATGTGCACCATGATTATCTTCTAAGGGATTTGTCCCTTTTTTAATGAATTCAGCACTTTCTTCCTTTTCACTTCACCGCTACCATCCTCTTTCATAACGTAAACTTTTGTATGCATGACTTTTCATCCATACACGCGTGCGTGCACACACACACCTCCCGGACACCTAGCACTGCGCCTGGCACATAATAAGTACTCAATATCAACTGCAGAGAGAGAGAGAGAGAGACACAGGGAGAGAGAGAGACGAAGTTGGTTTTTGAAGTTACTATAATCAGGGAAGGTACACAGGTACACACCATAAGTAGGATTTCAACTGAGCCTTAAAGAAAATATATTGATTAACATGCAAAACCCAGAAGGGAAAGCTATATTTAAGGCAAAGAATATCCTGTATTTTAATCCCAAATCGAGCACTTTTTCTTTGTTTAATTGCAGGCCATTTACTTAAGCTCTCTGAATCTCTATTTCGCTACTTGCTGAACTAGGATAATATTATATATCTCATAGTGTTGTTATAAGAAATAACTGAGATAAATTATGTAGTAGGATTCAACAAATAGTAGGTATTAACAACAACAAAAATTAATATTAACTCCCTGATTCAAGAAGCCAGTAGAAGTGCCGGTGAGGGCATAATGGGTAGCTCAATTAGGCGAGAGCCACACGTTTTCCAGAGGGAAATGATAGATGGCAGTAGAGGGAGCGGCCAGATTTAGTCACCATCTCTCTCCGACTACCTCTAAGCTTAAAGCTATCAAATGCATCATTAAATTCACTGCGGGATGTGATGAAGGCCAAGGACTATGAAGCAGTCCCTTCTCAGTAAAGAGCACGAAAGCTTTGAAACAGACAAGACATGGGCTGTACTCTCCGATCTAGCAGTGGAGTAAACTTGAGGCAGTTGGCTGTAGCAGGTGATAAACAAGGAATATATACAAAGCAGCTACCATGATGCTAGGCACATGGTGGACACTCAAATCTTCGTTCTCTCATCAGGGATGTCCCAGCATCATATCCCGCCACTCTCTCTACCTTTCTTTGCTGTCTTTGCCTCCTCCTACGCTTTACTCTGTCTTTCTTGGTCACCCGTTTCTTTCATCTTCTTACCCATACCTTTGGCATTCAAAAGTGTTTACTGAGATTCATCTCATCCGACAGCCTTTATAGAGCACTTACCGTAACTCAGGCACTGTGCTAATAACACTAGATTCAAACACCGCTGCCCTGTGCTACCCTTGGAAGTACTTCAAACTCATGTGCATGAATGAGCATGTCCTCTCAAGGTAAATTAGTTTGCAAAGTGCATCAGCGTGAAGTTAAACAAAGCCACACTGCAGGCCAAACGTGCTCGCATCTTCTGTAGTTCTGTAAATGTGTGTGGGCATAGCATAACAAAACCCAGGAAATCTGGGCTAGGTACCACTCAAATGGCAGGAAGCAACAATCAGTAATGGTGGACACAGAAGTCAAAGCATAGCCAGGCATATCCTTTTGACCCCTGAATCCTACTTCTGGCAATTTAGCCTCAGGAAATAATTATGGAGATGCACAAAGATTTAGCTAAAAGATGTCCCTTGCAGGCTTGTTTATATAACACTGCAAAAGTAAAACAAGCCTTAACATCTAAAGATAGGTTAACCCAATTATGCTTTACCCATATAAGCTGTTAATAAATGATATCACAGAGGAATAATTATTACCATGGTAATAGGACCAGGTACACTATTAACTGACCAAAGCAGATTGCAAAGCAAAATATACCAGGTGAGCCTGTATACACAAGCAGAAAAAAGACAGGAGGGCTGGCAGGATATTAAAAATAATAAAAAATAATGAACTCTAAAGATGAAATTACAAATTTCTACTTTTTTTTTGTTTCCTGTTTCTAATTTTACATACTTCCATGTGCCACTTTTGAAACAAGAAAATTTGCCAGAGTTATAAATGATATATATATAAGTATACATACATATAAATGATGTATGGATGAATAGATAGATGGTAGATTAGACAGATGATAAATAGATGTATGATAAATAAATAAATGGTAGATAACTAGATGGTAGATTAGATACATAGTAGACTGCATGGGTGGCAGGCAGATAAATGAAGGATTAGACAGATGAGAGATAGATGGGAGATTAGTTAGACAAAGAGGTGATGGATTAAATAGGTAGATAGTAGATTAGATAGATGATGGATTAGATAGAGACAGACAGTTATAGACAGATGATGGTTGGGAGAGAGAGAAACAGACGTAGACAGGTGATGGATTCGATAGATGGGTGGTAGATTAGGTAAATAATGATGAGAGATACATAGACGACGGGTCATCTTCAAGTCCAGGAGGCACGCAGAGCAGGACGTGCCGCGGGACAGTCTCTAATGAGCCGCGCGGTGTCATCAGCCACAGGGGAATGAACACAGCCAGTGTCCCGACAGCTGTGCCTGAGCCTGTCCCTTTCCCGTCAGGTCGACGCCCACGGCAACATTCTGCTCAGCACCCTGGAAATCCGGAACGAGACGAGCGGCTCGGAAGTGCTGACGGGCGTGAGCGAGCCCAAGGCCACCAGCATGTACTCGTACGACAGCGCCAGCATCCAGTACCGCAAGCCGCTGAGCAGCCGCGAGGGCTACGGGCGCGCGCTGGACCGGCACGGCGCGCACAGCAAGGGGCGCATCCGCCGGCGCGCCTCGCAGCTCAAAGTCAAAATCCCCGACTTGACTGATGTGAATTCCATAGACAAGTGGTCCCGAATGTTCTTCCCCATCACCTTTTCTCTTTTTAACGTCGTTTATTGGCTTTACTACGTACACTAAGGTCTGTCCTAATGGTTCGTAGACTACTCTCCTCTTCTCTTGTTTCTTAACCCCACAGCGCCGCCCCCCCCGCCCCCCAGCAGCAGCCATACTGCTGTGTTTTTTGAGGTAAGAGATTCAGCCATCCAACTGGTTTTAGGTGTTGCATATCAATTTTATTACTGCACCATGTTTACTTCCAAAAACAAAACACACACACGCGCACACACACCAAAAAAACTTATTTTTTTTCCAGCCTACTGTGGTCCAGGTTATCAGCTCTTTCAGAGCTCTGTTAATTGCCATGTTTACAAAACACACACACACACACACAAACACACAAAGAGAGAAGTTAGATAGATCTTTAGCAGTCCTTCCTACCTGCCCTGGATTTTATTGATTTATTTTTCAAATGAGAATGAAGAGGACCTAGCTCTCTGCGCGCACTGCTTCCTGGTAAACTGTAACAATTTCATGCTGCCAAAAAACAACACAATTTCCAGGATCTCAGAAGAAAAAACAAAGCCATTGACAAGTTACAGATTTCCAGGAAGAAGGGGGGGGGGGGCGGATAAAAGGAGCCTAGACCAGGAAGGAAGACTCCCCTCCACCCTCAAGTCCCCAAAACTCCCTTGTAGAAGGGGTCCCCACTCCATGGGACAGGAGGGAGGGATTGACAAGGGCTGACAGAGGTTATGCAAAACAAATCTGGCATCTTCACCTCACCATTCAGCTGGGTAGTCTGGAAAAAAACAAAAAACAAAAAAACTGCTTCTTTCTCAGACTTGCAAGCAGATTTAAAACTAGCACTAGAATCCATGCTGGCGGCCACTGAGAACATTTTTCTCTTGTTGAGAATAAGGAGTCTGGGGCAATGGTGATTTCTTTAACTATTCAAATGAGCAGCCCTGAACTCATTTCATTGCTTCCGTGCCCTGAAGCCGCGGCTGCGCTTGTCCCCAGGCCCTGCTCCAGAGACAGTGTGGAAGAGAAGGCAGGAGGAGGGCTTCCATAATGGGAGGGTGAGCAGTTTTTGCTTGAAAAAAAGATTGCCCTTTCCATTGAGGAAGGCAAGTCTTATGTGCTGTGAAAAGGGTGCCTGGGCAGTTACCCAAACTGCCAAATCTTAAATCAAATAGTGTATATTTCTTAGCCTTCCAGAGAGCAGCACCTTGTTGGACAGGCCTCAGGGAGCACCACAGGGCTCTGCTCTCTGAGCTCTGCATTCCAAAGTATTAAATGAATGCTTCAGGAAATGCACACACACCCACTTTGCTGTCATTCTCCTCTGAGGCCAGATTTCTATTTTAAAGAAAAACTTCAAAATAGGAAAACCACAGATAACACCAACAATGACAAAATCACTGGGCCTTCAAAGATGTATACCAGCCCCTAAAGCATAGAACGTGTCCGCACTCATGAATCATTGTCATTACTGCTCTGCCTTATCTCTGTTCACGGGTTACTGTGGTCGTGGGTCACCGAAGGGGCGTCCCTCAGTAGCCCAACACACACCTCTAAATGTGTCCAACCAGCTACAGTTGAGGTTTATCCCATTTTATGTCATTAAAGCCTCATTTTTTTTTTCAGCCCGAGTAGCTAAGAATTCTATATGTTCATTTGCAAGGTTGAGTGAGACCCTAAAACGACCAGCCAGTGATGGAGTCCATTTGTTCGGAATCTGATCCCTGGATGTCAAATAAGGGTTGAGGTAATAGTAAAGATGATTGCATCATTTGATGATCTGGCTTTCTCCCAAAGGCTGTAATGAGGGTCCGTGTTTACAATAGCATCAGCTGCTAGAAACTATAGTCTTAATTGGAAAGATAAGGCCAAATTCCTGCTGATGACCCCAAGGGGACAGAGCTTTGAGATACTCTTTTTAGAGGGCAAGAAGAGAACCCCAAAATAAATGAATGGTTATGGCTATAGATAATATACACTAGTAAGAATATAAAAACTGTGCTTTTACTCAATGGTTTCATAAGAAATTAGTAGGGTATGGGGACCAAATTTGCACTTAGGTTTTCAGTTTGCATAATCACAGTTCCCTGGTCAAGAGAATCTCCAGCCTCCCGGGATGAAGGGATCCATGTTGCAACTGACTAGTTCTTGGCAGGGAAAGATGCTTTGCCATCATGAAATGCCCAAGTAGAATGAAATGTGACCATTCCGGTGATTGTGAGGTTAACATTCCCAATGACCATCCAGGAACCATTGTGTATTTAAACACAGGAAGGGAGACTCTTGGCTGTTGCCTAACAGGAATGAATCATTCTGGTGTCAAAGCTCTTTAAAAAGCTTTTAAGGATGAAATGCTGAATGAGAAAGGAAGTATCTATAATCTATGCTCCTTAACAAAACAATTTTTCTTTATTCATCTGTTTAGATCGTTCTCCTTGGAAAAGACTGAGGTAATTTATAGTTTTATTATTTTTTTTTATCTTGCCTTAAAAGTCTAAGGAATTTGATGCTTGTCGTTTAGAGGTAAAGCATCTCTGAGAAAAAGAGAACATTTTGAATTCTTCTATCTTAACCTTTGTAAAATGAAAGATTAGTAAGCCTGAAACTACCACCAGGCACAAAATGGTGTCACTGTATGTCCTCCTGGGCTGAAGAAGGGTCACAGCCACAGGATGGTGCAAATCCTATTAGATGGCTTTGATTTTAGAGGCAATGGTAGCCTGAAAACTGGAGAAGCTGACCTATTTCTGGTTCATGACCTCCGTCCCCACTCCCTTCTTCTGGACACCTCCCAGCCAAATCCCCGCCTCCTCGGCCCCCACCCACACTCCCTACAGGCTTCACAGCGCCTGGGAAACATTCCTTCCTTCTCTGCCTCTCTCCCTTGTCTTGCTCTAAATGATGTACATAAAAGTTGTTAGACATTCCTAAGTGCCCTCACACTGGTCCCCATTCCTGAAAGATTCAGATCAGGACATTATCGAGGGGTTACTATCTAGCTCTTCCTGGGTTTTCTTTTTGCCATGAAAATAGCCATAATCTCCTGCATTCCTGAGTGGCGACAGAGGCAGAAGACTGCGAGGACTCACTCTCCTGGGCCACAGTCCTGTCCAGGGGACCACATGTCCACAGCTCATGAACTGTCACATAAGCTGTGTCATAGGTGTAACCTGTGTAGACCCAGCAGAAACCCCACCTTTCATTTGACAATGATGACCACACACTCATTTTTCCCACTCGTGTTCCTTGGCTTAACACATCAGGGGTGATGTGTGTTATGCTTACCAGCTTTGTGAGGCAGACCCAGGTAAAGACACACTTTGGGCTTAAATTCTCCAGGATTATTGCCTCCATCCTCTGTATTGCCAAACAGAAACAGCAGACTGATTGGTGATTGTGCAGACTAAAGGATATGTGTTCCCATATCATATATGCCATCTTTATTGTGCATTACAAGCAATGAAAGATCCCGAAAATGCAAAGAGAAAAATGTGGTGCGGAGAATAACGTTTGGTTTATGGATCCAAGGATAGGCGTTCCTTAAGCAAACATTATGTGCAATACACAGAAATGCTGACTAAATTCCATCTTTCCAAAATCAAGGACTCCTTTCTAAATATTCATTTATGAAAGAACTCAATTGAAATTCGCCAAGTGAAACAAACAAACAAAATATATTTATAATGCTAGAAGGAAACAACCTCCAAGATTTCTTACATGGACAATTTTGAATAGTATCTCACCAAAGGGTGATATGCCCCGCCTCCTTTTTTTTCCTAAACAGAATGTAATCCTATATCCCAGGAGGGAGGAAAAAGGAATGTACCAGCATTTGCTCATGTTGATTCAATCAGTAATTCCTGGGATGAGAAAGAAAACGAACATGTATCTCAGTTTCCTGAAAGCAAACAAAGGTGAACTTGTTAACGGAATGTAGAATATTATGTAAACTTCCTTGTAAATTCTGTACATAGTTCATTGAATTGTTACCTGTTGCGTGGTGGTCCTCGGCTTTGGGTGGATGTTTGAACAATCCGAGCATTGTAAATAATGTGAGCTTATAAGGCACTTGCTTTTAGAAGTGAAGCAGCTAGTGATTTGGGCCCAAACCAGAATCTTTTTCGCTCTTGCTCTTTCTCTGCCATTTTGTGTGCGCGGTTGTGTGACTCTGCCAGGTGTCTTGTGCTCCCTGCCTCATGCCCCCACGGCCATGCAAAGGGACAGTAGCTGCTGAGAAGGCTGCACTCCAGTGGGGCTCAGGATTGGCGTACCTGCAGAGACGGGACCTGTAGCGAACTGCTCCTGGAACCGTGTCGTGAAAAGTAGACGTGTTTTTATCAGTCATTCGTGGCTATTCATTCATATATCGAAATACCAAATTATCCACGCTGTTGAGGGGTCAGGAATGGAAGAGATGTTCAAAATCCACAGGTAATCCAAAGCTTCCTTTGCACCCATAGCTCTAGTTTCTAACTTTTTTTCCTTCCACAATGTTTCCCAGAACTTTTAATAAGAATTGAAGTGAATAGATGGGTTTGATCAGGGTACACACACGGTCAGATGTCCAAATGATGGGAAGGAGAAAAGGAGGAGACAGCAAATGACATTGAAACACCAACTGGCTGATTCATCCCTCAAAGATGCAGCAGTAACCATGTCACTGTTTCTAAAAGGTAAAGAGAGATATTGGCAATTAAAGCAAGTATTTTTCAACTGGGGGCCCAGGGTTGTGTTTGGTATGTGCTAGTTAAACTTAGAATCTGGTAATTAAATATTTTCACATATATTTCTCCCAAGTCCTGGTATTCTTGAAAAAGACTTCAGAATGGTGGGATATTCAGCCATAAGATGTGTTTTCATGCCAACTGGCAGTCCCAGAGAAGGCGATGGTGTCTGCAGAAATTCAGAATATCTTAGCAAGCTGGGACATAGATTGGTTTCTTAGTAACATTTTTAGAGTGCACCATGTCTTTTTGGGGGTTAAGAACTTAGCAAGGCAGGGCTTTTTGTACCAGGATTTTATATACCCGGAGAATCATTTTGGCTCCAAAATGTGCACCCGGAGAATCATTTTGGCTCCAAAATGTGCCAACCAGTGTCCATCAGTAATCAAATAAGAAAAATGCCCTGTAGGAACTAACCAGGTCAGTCAATTTCTAGATCCAGAATACACTGTGCTTTTACTTTAATCATGCTTTTTCTATATAACAGAAATCAACTAAACTGACAGAAATTTAATTGTTAAAGGTTGTAATTTCACAAGCCACATTTGAAAGGAAACCCTATTAAATAGAAGAATTGCAAACCAGAAAATACGAAGTTCCTAGAAGGGTAAGGATAAAGAGTTTTGAGTTTACTTTTACTTCTCCGATAGCAAGAATTTCCTTATTTGAACAGAAGAGGTCTAACAGTTGTCTGGTTTTGTTTTTCCCAATCAAAAAGTCTTCGGTACATCAAGGGGGGCTCACAGTCATTCCTGATTGGCCCCTAGATACCTTGCACATCCTGGAGCAACCAGCTCTCATCACAAAGATTTCAGTAGGAATTCCATGTGGGAAAAATAGGTATATTGTTGAACCAGTTGGAAAGAAACCATTCTCAATAATGACTCTACCTGCATATCCTGTTCTGAAGACCATAGAAAAATAAATCAGTCGAAGAGAGGCCAAATAACATTATGCATTTGCCTTAGGGAAACAGGGTCATAGATTCACTAGCTTAAAACAGCTCCCGTTAGAAGCCAAAGGATGAATAAAAGCAATCAGTATTGCCATCTGGCTTTCACCTCTCCCTGGGTTTCCTTTTGAAGAGAAACAGAAAAGGGGGAACGTTTTCCAATATAACTTTTTTATGGGTGAAAATGATTAAAATAGGATATGCATGTGCACCGTGCAGGTTTGGCTGTGTGTGAAATAGATTACCTCTCTTGTGCTCATTCCCTCCCAGCACCGGATGCCATCCTGCCTCCTGCCTTAACCCAGTGGAATCAATTCATGTTTCCTCTTCCTCATTCCAAACCTCCTAAGTTATCTTGCCCTTGCATAGCTGAAAGCCTCAGCTTCTTTGAACTTGTATTGTGTATCTTCAATTCACAAAACAACGAATCTTAATAATCTCCCCAGATTCCTAGTCCTGTTGCCTTTAAAAGGTCTTTGGAGGGAGCTTGTGTGTGTAATCGTGGTAGCCTCCTCCGAACTGCCTCGGGTTATTTTTCTTTTCTGCTTTCCCGTCCTGTATGTCAAGAGTACATGTTTACATAAACCTTGTGTCCCTCAGCCTAATTTAAAATAAAGTGGAAATAAAAGTCATTAGCTCAAACCTGGGAAAGTTCACATTATCTACACCAAAGTTGGATGACAAGATCGAGCCCTGACATTCTACTTGTGGAATGGGGAGTTCACACTGTATCAGCTCTTGTCCGTCAAACTCATTTCCTCATGCCCTCCTTCAGCCTTAATTGTACGCCTTTTAAAAACCTATTATTATTCCTTCCAGAATGGTTTCTCATAACACAGAACACACTACTGGTTACAGACCATCCTCTAGGAACTTGACCACTTTATACTGTCACTCTCTCACTCCTGTTACAGATTCCATTCTATGCATCACCCCACCAACTCCCCATCAGCCTTCTAGCACACATTAAATGTAGTAAGACAAGCCATAATGCAGACTTGTCCAAATTGCCCCTATAAAATATGTAGAACATCTTTTTCCTCCAAACAGCATTCCTCTACTTAGAGAACGGAGAGTCCTCTAAATCTATACCAAGCAATGTGCAGACTAACTTTAAAAAATTCACAGTAAATGAGCAGCATGGTGGAGAGAGGGAAATGACAGCGGATGGATGACACCCTGGAGTTGGGACTGCGTGACCTGGCCTTCATGTTGCCCCTACCACTGCCCATGACGCGGTTCCCAACGTGCCCCCAGATGACTTCCAAGTTCTCTCCCAAATTTCCCCCAGTGGGAAACCAAGTTCCCAGCTACATTTAAAAGGGAATCTTAGGGGCGCCTGGGTGGCTCAGATGGTTAAGCGTCTGCCTTCGGCTCAGGTCATGATCTCAGGGTCCTGGGATCGAGCCCCGCATCGGGCTCCCTGCTCAGTGCAGAGCCTGCTTCTCCCTCTCCCTCTGCCACTCCCTCTGCTTGTGCTCTTCTGTCTATCTCTCTGTCAAATAAATAAATAAAATCTTAAAAAAAAAAAAAAAAGGGAATCTTAGAGAGGTTTATTTGTGCAGGAAGTTACTAGAAAGATATAGGAGCACGGTAGCCTCTGCTAACATAGCCCCATAAATTCAGTAATAGTCCTTGTTGTAGATCTCTGGGAGTAAGTAGACCATCTGGTGTCAAGTGGATCGAATTCAATACCTGTTCAAATTCCTTTAAAAATACATCGAAGTTACAATACCTAGAAATTTAAAATAAATTTATAGGCAAATGGCAAAAATAAATTATTTTACAATTTTAGTAATGGTCTACACTACAGTATTTCCCTCCAAGAGCGCTGAAGAGTCTCAGATAACATAAATCAGTGTGGTCTCTATTTTCAGATCTCTGGAAAATACAGATCCTTTAGGCCATTCCCTGCAACTCAGTCAGGAAAAGCCCTAAATGCCCCTTCGGGAGTGGAAAAGCCTAGGTCTAGGCAGCATCTGAGCAGAAATGTTGTGGCAGTGCCCTTCCGTGTTTGTCCCCAGGGCTGGCCCCCATCACTGTCTGTGTTCTGTAAGCAGAGTAGCAGGTAGGATTGAGCTCTCAGACAAGGGGCAGCCTCCCATCTGGTTGCAAAAGATTCCAGGTCTTTAGAACCTCTGTTATCTGCTCTTCCTGCCCCACTTTCCCAAACCCCCTCCCATTCCCCACTTAACTAGTTCAATCTGCCACATGTTTTAGGCATGGCCATGACGAAACTGAAAGTTTACTTTATTGAGATTAGCGTTTCTAGCTATTCATATTTTTAAAGCATGCACCCTCCCCATTCCAGTCTCTGAGCCTGATCCTCAATGCGATTCCTGCACACTGGTGTTCTTTACTTTTCCCCTTTTTCAAAAGATACCTTCCAACTCTAAACTTCCATGATTCTCCTGAGTGTCCCTTGACCATTCAGAATTGTTAGAAGAATGCCTAAAAATTCCTCTTTTCTATTGTAGGCCAGTCTACCAATGAGATGGACGCTTTTTTGTAAAGTTGGCCTAACATTCTGCCCCTTGACTTCACACACCGTCTATATCCTATCGTTCCAAACTTCCCATGTGCAGATGTGCTCATCACTCCTCTTCAAGTAGTGAGCTTAGAGTTTTCTTCTTCAGGTTTCTCATACTCTATACCTTGATATAGGTTCATATTTAATGTCATCTTTTTAAAAACAGAGGAAGCACTTGTAAGTCTTCAAATTCTCACCGAGTTGAGATGGATACTTACTAAGACGTATAGCAATTAGGATTCATTCAGGTACAAGTAACAAAAGACACAGCTAAAAGTAACTTCAGCAATCAAAATGATAGCTCCTATAACAAATAGGGTGGTTACTGGCTTAATTATTTCAACAGCACAATGATGTCATCCAGGACCCAGTTCTTCCAAACTCTGTATGTTATCAGCACCCACTGTGGTTGCAACATGGCTATACTCATGCACTCATATCACGTGGCAGAAACAAGGGAAAGTCCTGCCGTAGGTCTCTTTCTAAGAGCCAGGGAATCTTTCCCCAAAAAACTCTCCCAGCCATCATTTTTTGTTCCTTTGGATGGGGTTGGATTGCACAACCATTCCTGAACCAGTCACTGGTAAGAGGAATGAAATTATCATGATGGGCTTACGATATTGACACAATGCGTTGCCCAACGCCTGGGGCAGGGGAAAACAGTGGAATATGTTAACAAAAAGAGAGAAGAATCTTGGTTTTTGGGTAGATATCCAATTGTGACTGTCACACATTGGTCTAAGGTATCAGAAAATACTTTGTTACACATAATTTCATGATTTGATCTTCCCTACAACCCTGTGGTTATGATGACAATACCAATATCTGGAAATAGAGGTTAAGTAGGTTAAATTATTTACCCCAGATCTGATAACTAGTTAGTGATAGAGTTAGTATTTGATCTGAGTTTGGGTGTTTTGTTTTGTTTTCTGGCTGCAAAGGCAAAACTTTGTCTACTCTATCACACTGCCTATATCTAATCCTTTTTACCTTGATGATCCAGGTTTTGGGTGGTTCAAAGAGGAGGGCAGGTGGGAAGAAAGAGTACAATTTCCACTGCCAACATCTAGACACTATGCCCAGTAAACACTTCTGTTCTTTTTTTATCCTGATCCTCCTCCCTGCCCATGCCCCCCGCCCCCACCACCAAACACACAAAAGCCTTTCATTATTCTCTTGAGGGAAAGTGTAGAAGGAATAGTTCACATAGCAACTGAATAGCCTGAGGTGTGCCCCAGTTCTTTTGGGATAACATTACTGTTAGGGGACAACGTGCCCCAGTTTCCCTGAGACAGTCCCAGTGTGTAATTACCAATTGTGCCACATTTTACTCTCAAATTTGTCCATTTAGATAACAATTATATAGTCACACTATTTATAGGTCTCATAATCCCCATACCTTGTGGGTATGGGAAATATTGATAAATTAACACCTTGGAGAAAATACACGCCTTGGCTCCCTATGAATCACTTAAGTCTGACCTCAGTCTCTCCATCACTCAGGTTCATTTTATCTCTCACTGTTCCCCTGACCCACCCTCAAGCAAACTACTCCTTAGGTTTTTCCTACTCTTCCGCCAAAACCACAGCCACATCCCATCCCAAAATGTTCTCCTTGCTGTGCTTGAAGTTTTACATTTTATTTCCATTGCCCAGATTTCCCTCCCCAATGGGTGGATTATGAATCAAGCCACTATCTTCCAAAAAGCCATCCATGAGCAACCTTTCCTCATTCTGTTCACTCTCCTGCTAGCAATCCCTCAATTCTTATGGCCACTGAGTCAATCAGTAATAATGGATGTTGAATTTGTGTTATCTTCCAGGAGTTTTGCAAAGAGATGCTCCCCTTCCCTAAATAAAGTGTAAGGTCCTTAAGGGTAAATGCCCCATTTTCTAATTCTTCTGTATTGCCCAAAGCATCTATTGTTCTTGTCATGGTAGAGTCTGTAAATGACCTACACTGGAAAATGTAGCAACAGAAAAATACAATTTCGTAACAGGCAGTACTTCAGGATTATAGGTAACACACCCTCCCCCAAGTTACTTTAGTTCCATAGAGCCTATGTGTACAACCTCTAAATGGATAAAAAAATGCAGTCAAACTTATAGTCGACCCAGGTTTGGGTCCATGCAAAGTGATCATGGAGATTTCCCCCCATTGCTTATGACTAAACAGACTGAATCTTAATAAGAGCATTCTGGATTCGACCAGTTCTGGCAGAATTGAACTTTCCATGATGATTACTACTGCTTTAACTTTATGGAAACAGGAAATTGTTCATTCGAAGTCTCACTTTTCACCCATTTACCCCCATTTGCCTTATTAAAAGCCTTCTGAATCTAGGTTCTGTGGGGTGTTTACTCTCCCAAGTGGGATTGCACTGCATAATTGGAACATCCAATGTGAATTCCAAGAGAATACTTCTAGACGGTATTGCACACCAAATTTCACTTCTGCCAAGAAATAAATAGGAGGTTTAGAACTCTCTAAGAGGGATGGGCAGTTCTTCACTGTCCCTCAAGACTGCGTAAAATATATGTACAGAGAAATACCTTTCCTGCACCCCTCCTTTCAACTGTTAACTCTCCTGTTCTCCTGTTATGTATATTATTTACAAATTTGCATAAAAGAAATACATCATTTGCAAGCCTTACCTCAGAGTGGCAACCAGCCACCCCAGTTTTACTAGATAACGTATTTTTCTACTTGATATTCCCCCAAATACATTGAATTGCAGTGTATCTTTTTCTTTTTTTTAAGCTAATCAACTCACTTTAATCCGTTTCCTACATCTTTTTAAAATACTCACTGGATAAAGCTTGAAATATTTTATATTTTGCGACAATGCTCCTGAGACATTTTTAGGGAAGCCCCTTGATTATTCTAACTCACTGCGGTGTCATGGAAAGCAGAATTATAAACACAGTGATACTTCATATTCAGAACATCCACTACTAAGTAGGGAATGCTCGTGATTAGATATGCATATTTTTATTGACTGTGTTGTTCAGCTCCTTATTTTAGAGAGGGCCAATAACCCTCTTGGTAAAAACTACCCTGTGGCATTATTCCAAAGTCAAGATTGCATGAGGTTTTCAGAAATTCTAAATGATATGTTTACAAGGACTAAAAATTTTTTGACATCTTTAAATAAGCTTTTTATTTTTGACCACCAGGCAGCATTTTGTGCCATTGTGATGGGAACCTAATGGCTAATGTGAAATAATGTTGTGTCATTTAAAAGGTTAATGGAAATGTAAATTGGAAACTTTAACATTGTGTAAATACAAATAAAACTGTTTTTGAGAGAAACACATCTGGGTTAGGGTGGCTTGCTTGAAAAATTCGCTTGGCTGTCCATCATCTCTGAAAAATTATTTCATTGCCGTGCCTTTACCCAAGAAGACCCAACCTGAGGCAAAGATCTTCTTACAGTGATTCAGAAGGTTTGGGGAAGCAGGACTCATCAGGCTAAAGAGTGGGGGGAAACTTCTATCCTGCCAGCAATGGAACATCTCTTTGGCACCGCCTCACCTAAAACTTGATTGAATCCAAAAATTAGCGAAACTTTCCAAACCAGTCTCCTGCTATTTTAATTCACAGCACCCTGTCCTAAATAGCTGGGGCTTTCAAAAGCAGGTGCTACTTATACACAAAAATTCATACCTTCTGTTGCCTCTCAAAATCTGCTATGCTTAACTCACCAATATGTCAGAATATGTTAAATGTCTTATTCCTTGTTTTTAAATCCCCACTAATCAATTTGCTGAATTGCCAATTTACCCTCCTACCAAACAGGAGTTAGCTAATTCATATCCTGATTGGTATTACACAGTTCTTGTAAATAAAATAATCCCTTTGTCCCTCTTTATTTTTCAGCGGGCAGAACTTCTTTAATGGCAAAGAAACATAAATTACAATACATTAATGTTCTTTTGACATAAGCATTTGCTTTCTTACATAAGCAGATAATACTTTTGTATACCGACCAGACCACTAGAGGAGCTAAATGGCAAGAATAAGTATTTCTGGAAACCAATAGGAATTTTAATGAAATGGGAAATGTTTTAAAAATGCCAAGAAAAGAAAGGTGGACTCTTTACTTTTATAATTCCAGTTCCTGTTTTGTATCAATATATGCTGCATTTTCTGACTGAAACTGCTGTTCTGTCTAATGAAACTTGAGATTTTTCTGCAGTTGCTTTTAACATTTGAAATCAAACTTTCATACAGGGTGTTCAACTGTAATCTTTCTGTTAAGGATTTGATTAAAATATTCTAACCGTTTCATTAATTCCCTTTTTACGAGCTTCAAGTATGTGACATTATGACTTCGCTATCTCAAAAACGATCTGTGAACAAAATCCATGAAGCCTATAGACTGTGATTTCTACACATCAAAGAAGAACTAAATCTCCCTCTAAGCAATGAATCAGCGAATAAGAAACTGTGCAGTGTCCTCTGATTCCTGACCCTTTTAGCTTTCATGGCCTTTTTTCTATTCTTATTCACTGAGTAATCATGTATCCTTGTAAAATAAAAAGTCAACTTACACGCAATCAGGTATGGACACAAGAAATGCTTGTGCTCTCAATTTCAGGACTCAACGGATACTCCAGCAGTCACAGGACTGTGGTTCACTCAGTATCTTTGTTAATAGTGTGGCTTTGCTATAAAGTAAGTTGCTGTTTTCTTTGCTCTGGTACTACAGGATTTTAAATGTTTCAGCAAATGACAGAAAGAAAACACATTTGAAGGCTGGTGTCAAAAACCATCAGCTGTACTCACAAAAGCCTTTGTGCAGCTTCTGAAATGTAGTTTATTGCTGTAAATATGTACAATTTATGTTAGCTTGCTTATTTCTAAAACTCAAATAAAACATTTTTTTAATTGAAAATGCCTACATATAAAAAGCTTAGTTTGTACTATGTTCAAAAACATGCAAGATTTCAGGCATATCTTTTTATAATCCTTAAAAATGTTTAGAATTCTGAATCTATCATTTCGGAGCCTTTATTTTAAAATTTAATACAAAGCAAAATCCCTTTATTTGGAAGAAATTCTTTGCAGTATTATCCAACAACTGGGGAAAAAGTACCAGCACTTTCCCGGGAGCTTATTTCTGTACCACTTTGATTTTTGGGGGGAAAAAAAAAAAATTCTTTAGGATAACACGCCTTACAAACATTTGGACATATGGAGTGTTTATGTATCAGAAAAAAAGAAGAAATTGTTTCCTTGTATTCAAAATGATGCCTAAAATGGACTTTAATAGCAGCCATTTGTGAGGTGCATTATGTCAAATTTCTTTTAAAATCTCCACTGTAAATACGAATATTAGAGTTGGGTTATTTGTCAGTCTTTCCTAATTGGAAGACCTCCAACCTCCAAACTCATTGTCTCCCCTCAGAAACAGTATGTTGACAATAAAATAATGAACAGACTAAAGGTGTGAAGTTCATATATCCATTAATGATGGTTAGCAGAATAGCTTTTCAATGAAGAGTCTAAATTCCAGCCTAAAGACAACTTTAACATCCATCCAGCAAAGTACCTGGGAATCAGCACTTCATCAGCAGAGCCTGAACCCTGCAGAGCTACCAAGGATTTTAGAGACATCCTACAATGGCTACTATTTCCAGAAGACTATGTTATTCAATGGACGAAATAAATGGCCATCCAATTTTTTTAGAAAAATAACATGTATGTGTTACATGTTTAGGATTTGCTATAAGAATCATAGATAATATGAAGCTAACACAAGATAGGTATTTGTGTATCTGTGATAGAAGTAGTATCAGCCAAGGACATGGAGAAAATGGAACCCCTGTGCACTGTTGGTGGGAATCTAAAATGGTGTAGTCACTATGGAAAACTGTATACAGGTTCCTCAAAAAAATTAAAAATAGAACTACTTATGATCCAGCAATCCCACTGCCAGGTTTTTATCCAAAAGAACTGAAAACAGGATCTTGAAGAGATATCTGCACTCCTATGTCCATTGCAGCATTAGTCACAATGGCCAAGAGGTGGAAACAACCTGAATGTCCATTTGTGGATTAATGGACAAAGAAAATGTGGTATATACATAAAATGGAATACTATTCAGCACCCCCAAAAGGAAATTCTGTCATATGTTAAAACATGGATGAACCTTGGGGTGCCTGGGTGGCTCAGTCGTTGAGTGTCTGCCTTCGGCTCAGGTCATGATCTCAGGGTCCTGGGATCGAGCCCCGCATCGGGCTCCCTGCTCGGCGGGAAGCCTGTTTCTCCCTCCCCCACTCCCCCTGCTTGTGTTCCCTCTCTCGCTGTGTCTCTGTCAAATAAATAAATTAAAAATCTTTAAAAAACAAAACAAACAAAAAAACATGGATGAATCTTGAGGACATTATGGTAAGTAAAACACTCTTGTTGCTGAAGGACAAATATTGCATAATTCCACTTACATGAAGTATCTAAAGTAGTCAATCTCTTGAAGAAGAAAGCATAATGGTGACTGCCAGGGGCTGGAGGATGGGGAAATGGGGAGTTACTGTTCTATTAGTAGAGCTTCACTGATAAAAGATGAAAAAGTTCTAGAGATCTATTGTACAACAATGTGCAGCGAGTTAACACTACTGTACTACACACTTAAAAATTTGTTCAGAGATTTCATATTATGTGTTTTTTGCCACAAGTGAAAAAAAAAAAGAAGAAAAAAAGAAAGAAATACAAAGTGATACAGCCACTTTGAAACAATTTGGTAGTTTCTTACAAAGTTAAACTTGTCATACAATATGATCCAGCAATCACACTCCTGGGCATTACCAATTTCCTTCAATAGGTGAATGGATAAACAAACTGGCACATCTATTCAATGAAATATTATGTGAGAATAAAAAAGAAATGAGTTATCAAGCCACGAAAAAACATGGAAGAACCCTAAATGCATATTGCTAAGTGAAAGAACCCAGTCTGAAAAGACTGCATACTGTATGATCCTAATTACATGACATTCTGGAAAAGGCAAAACTATAAAGACATTAAGAAAACTCACTGATTGTGGGGTTCAGAGGAAGATAGAAGGATGAATAGATTAAGCATGAGGGATTTTTAGGGTGTTGAACTACTCTGTAAAGTGGATTCATGACATTAGGCATTTGCCAAAACACAGAATTATTCAACACAGAGTGAAAATTAATATATGCAAATTTAAAAATCATTTAGGAAGTCAGGCAATCCCAGCAAGGAATACAGACTACGTTAAAAAATCTAACTTCATTACAAATGTATAAAACCACCTCACTGAAGGGGGGGGAGGTACTGATCTAAGTAAACCTGGAAATGAGTGAAGTCTGTAAGACTAAAGGCAAAAGAACTGTACATAATCCCTTCCAAGAAGATAAAATTGTTTCCCATGGATTAACAATTCAGATACATGCCATAACAATTCAGATACTGCCATAAACAATTCACACATATATGGATAGTAGATGGTGGGAGTCAGGTTTCTTACTGCTGGACTGTAAATTTACAGATAAGGGTAGCAGATGAGGATGATCCATGTGGTAATGGATTAGAGTTGAAGACATCAAGATGAACTCATGTGTAGCTTAATATAGATACAGCTAATTACATAAAGAAATATTTATAGATATGTATATATACACAGCTTAGTTCACATACATATATTTCTTTGTTCTGTCAATAAAATGAACCAGGGCTTCTTGGAGAAATGGCTGATTCTAGAACCAGGCAGGAAATAGACAAAATGAGCCCAGAGCATCTTGTATTGCCAGAAGGTTAAGGAAATATAAAAATAGATAAATACCTACCTTCAGTGATAGAGCTATGTCAATGGGACAATGGAGCCAACTGAAAATGCTCCTGGTGGCCAAACCTGGAGTAACCTGAATAAGCAGTACTGGCTTATAACCAAAAGGATAAAATATCCATGAGTCTGTATTATATAAATAAATGATTAAATTAATAAATAGAAGAGACAAATCTGTGCTTATATAGGTACTCTGACCTCAGGAAGGGGGAGTACAACTTCCCATTCCTAAATATGGGTCACACATAGTGACTTCCTTCCAAAGAGTACAATATGGAAAAAGGAGAAATAAAGAGTAACTTTACAGTGAGAAACCAGACAAACTATTTCAGCCAGGTGAACAAGGTCAATGTCAAATCATAAATCCTGCTAACAATATGTACCCTCAATATGATGTGATGTAAATGGCACTTTACCCCTGTGATTTTCCTCCCCCAAACCCGTAATCCCAGCCTAAGCATGAGAAAAACATTAAATTCCAATAGAGGGCCATCCTACAAAATACCTCATTCATACTCCTCAAAACTGTAAAGGTCATCAAAAAGAAAGTATGGGAAATTATCACAGCAAGAGAATCTTAAGGATACATGACAACTAAATAATATGAAATCTCAGAACAGAAAAAAAGGACATTAGGTAAAAACTTAGGAAATCTGAATAAACTATGGAATTTAGTTAATAACAATGTATTGACATTTGTTAATTCTAACAAATGTACCATACTTACATGTTAATAATAAGGGAATCTAGATGTGAGGTATATGGGATCTTTCTGGATTACCTGTTCAAATTTTTATGTAAATCTAAAATTATTCTAAAAAAAAAAAGTCCATTTATAGAAGAAAAAGCCACAGATTGGGAGAAAACACTTGCAAGGCATATATGTGATAAAGACTTGTATCCAGGCTATCAAGAACTCCCAAAACTCAACAGTAAGAAAACAACCCAATTTAGAAATGGGCAATGGATCTGAACAGACACTTCACCAAAGATCTACAGATGGCAAACTGCACATGAGAAGACAATGAACACCGTCAGTCATTAGGGAAATAAATATAATTAAAACCACAACGAGATATGACTACACACTTATTACAACAGCTGAAATTAAGATTGACCAAAGCACGTGTTAGCAAACAGGAGAAGGTGGAACTCTCAGACTGCGGGATGGAATGTACAATGGTAAAATCACTTTGGAAACATTTCACTCCTCAAAGTATTCACTCAAAGGAAGCACACGTCCATACAAAGGTTTACACAAGAATGTTCACAGGATTCTGTGTTACGTAATGGCCATAAAAATTTTCAACGACCAAAAATATCCTTTAACAGGTGAATAAACAAATTATGGTAAAACTCTACAACTGAATACTTCTCAAAAAGAGAAAGGAATGAACTATTGCTATATGCAACAACACAGATGAACTCAATACTGAAAGAAGCCGGATCAAAAGAAAAGGTACATACTGTATGATTCCACTAATATTAAATTCTTGAAAAGTGTGAACAAATCTACGAGTGGCAGGAAGTAGATCAGGGGTTGGGGGGGAGGGCACAGGAGCAGGGATTACAAAGGAATAGGAGGAAACTTTTGGGAGTGATTGCCATGTTCACCATCCTGACAGAGGTGATGCTTTCTTGGGTGTACAGATGTCAAAACTTACCAGATTATACACTTTAAATATGTGAGGTTTACAGTATATCGGTGAGATTTCAATAAAGTCGTTAAATATTCTAATGGAGTGATAAATAAGGTGGTGAGAGGAAGAATAAGTAGAGCAAGATTTTCTGCTTATCAAAGGAAGAAAATGGAGGGTTGAAATTCCAAAGGACCTTAAATCAGTATAGATCTTCTTCAACGTGATGGGTTTACATCCCAATAAACCCATCATAAACTGAAAATACTGTAAGTCAAAAACGCATTTAATATGCCTCACCTACTGAACATCACAGCTTAGCCTACTCTACCTTAAATGCTCAGAACACTTACACTAGCCTCCAGTTGGGCAAAATCATCTAACACAAAGCCTATTTTTAAATGAAGTGTTGAATACCTCATGTAATTTACTGAATACTATACTGAAAGTGAGAAACAGAAGGTTGTCTGGGTAAAGGATGGTTGTCAGGATATCAGCTGTTTACTTGTGACCGCATGGCCGCCTGGGAGCTGCGGGGCTGCCGCTGCCCAAATCAGAAAAGAGTGTTGGACTGCATATTGCTAGCCCAGGAAAAGATCAAAATGCAAAATGTGTTAAAAAAAAAATCAAAATTCAAAGTATGGTTTCTACTGAATGCAGGTTGTTTTAGCACCACAGTGAAGTCAAAAAATCCTAAGTCAAACCATCGTACATCAGCGATCATCTGCATTATTTAAAGTGCTCGCCTGCAAACCGCTACCGGTCCGTGACATAAGGAACTTGCACAGGGAGTAAGTCAACAACCTCCCTAAGCACACTGTTTCGTTCAGCTGATATTTTTTCCATAATCAACATCTCTCAATGAGAAAAGCAATATATTGATGAACACTCTGGCATGCGCTCCTCATCTAATCCCTGACCTGTAACAAACAGTGCACAGAAGACTGGCATTAGTCTACAGACACATTTTGAGGAGCACTGCCTAGATCACGAGCAGGTATTTTTTTTTAAGCTCTCAAAGCCTATCTTCATCTCTATGATGAGAAATAGTAATAACTGTTCTGAACACCTCAAATAATAGTCTGATGCTCTAAAGAGCAATTAAGCTCGCAAACAGCAGGTACCAATTAACTACGGGTCACTGCATTATGTAGAAAGTCTTCTGAAATAAAGCAATATGTAAAAGTAAAATGACATTTTTTATTTGTTCAGAATGCTTGTTTTTAGTTAACTGAAATTAAAAATGGTTTGTTTTCCAGTGAAGTTAACACCCAAAACTATTAACTTCAATATTAAAAGTCTATAACAAAAATGGACCTATATTTAATCTCAGCTGATACCTGAATAGCTATATATACACTATGCAATGACATCGATTCTTTTTAACGAAGCACAGCCTCCCGATCAGACACAGAAGTGCAGAAGTAACAGTGTTACTTTCATTTTTTCCCACTCGAGTAAAAGATTTTAATCTCTAGAATTCATAAACTCAAAACTGTTGATTTTAATTTTAATTTTAATTATTTTTTCTTGTTCATGTCTGAAGAGGAGCTTCTTTCTCTAAGAAATTTTGTATTTTATAATCTTTCCTTTGAAATAGAAGAAAGATATGGAATCTCCTGAGTTATATATGCAGCTCATACATTCTTTAAAAGTTATTTTTTAAAATATTACAAATTAATCATATATATCCATAATACACATCCTTGTTATTCATATATATTCCTTTAAGCAACATTCAAGTAGATTTGTGCTTTGTACGTTTACATTACTTTAGAGCTTATTTTTAGCTTTCAATAAAACTGTGTATCTATAAAGGTTTCTCAAATATTTAATAAATGAGGCAAAACAGCCATTATGAAAATATAAACTGCTATTAGAGCTTTTTCATCTCTCATTTTTTATGCATTTCCTGTCGACCACGTCATTTCCTGTTCTGCAGGGAAGCGGGTATATTTTCATCTCTGTAAGCCCAACATGCTGCTTTCTCAGCATAGCAAAACAGTCAGTACAGCGCAGGTATTCTGAACACACAGTATTCACTTGGCCGCATCTGGGGTAGCAGTAGAATCTCAGAGTGTTGGTTATTTCAACTGCAGGACCACCTTAAAACACAAAGTCGGGGGTGGGGGATGGGAATCAGGTTATTCCAGAATGATGCCCGTATCTGCTTAATGAAATGCTTTGAAATCTCTGAAGACAGGAGAACTGATAACAAGCAAGTACAATGCACAGTAACTGATGATGCATGCCTGCCAGGATTCATGGTTCAGACTCAATTAACATTTATATGAGGCTCTACCACACACTCCCTAAGACATTTAGCCCCATCCAAAAGCAAGCCAGGCTACCAGTGTGGCTACTAGGCATGTGGACCAATCATCATGGCACTAAAATGACTGAGTAACTGCAAAGTACGGACGGAAGCTGAATATACCAGGGTTTCAAAAAGGTAGAGCCGGGGGGCACCCGGGTGGCCCAGTCAGTTGAGCATCTGCCTTTGGCTCAGGTCATGATCCTGGAATCCTGGAATGGAGTCCTGCATTGAGAATCCCTGCTCAGCGGGGAGTCTGCTTCTCCCCCTCCCTCTGCCAC